AGACAAAAGCTATTTCACTGATGAGAAAATTTTAAAAGATTAAATTAAATCTAAAACCAGGATCACCTGGAGATCTTCATAAATTGCCTGGGATGACTGATCCTCATAAATCAGACCACTGGCTCAGGTCATTTACTAATGATGTACATTTCATATCCATAGGGTATATCACATAACAGCTTAGTGAAATAAGGTTACTGTTGACACTGTTAAAATCCCTCACAGAAGTTTAAATACTGCTATCAGAACAAACAAAACAACTCTGAAAATCACAGTTTTATCATCACAGACATGCAGCCTGATTTAGTCACTTTACCCACTTCCAATGGCCATTATTATGCCATAAATCTATTCAAGCTAAACACTGCTTTCCCTGATCTTTGGATCTTCCGCAAGGTATTCCAAAGTTAAGGTTTTACGAATACAGCTCTTTTCACAAGTAAATCATAATTTGCTAAAATAAAATGTACAGAGCATGCCCAAAGAGAGAAGAGAACATGGGAAGAGCAAATACCCACCTAATCCTTTTATTAATTCCAATAAATGCCCTGTGTTAAACAGGTTAATGTTCTATTCATGCTATGTACTGGCTTGTATCAGTGACAGATTTATGAATACTATGACAAGCTGCCAAACCAATAAACAGTAGCTAAATGTACTGCAAAGGTCTGTGAATGAAAATGCAACAGCCATAGAGTATAAGCACATCCGTTTATATTTTCCTTAACAGCCACCTAAGGAGTTTAAAGTCTCATGTTGCTATGGGGCAATGTCATGGGTCACCTGTGCCCCGATGGATCTTTTAAGATGACAATGAATGAAACAAAACCAGAAAGGACAGAACAGAAAGAAAGAGTTTAATGCACTTCCTCTGCTTATTCACCTTCCTGTATAAGAATGCAAGAGAGACTCAGATCTTACAAATCTGCTTAGAAAGAAGGTTCCCCCCTACTTTCAACAGCCACACACTGTCAAATTAATCTGTGGAAATTCCTTCTCAGAAAATTGTCTAGGATGTGCAAATCTGCTTCAGGACAGAACTAAGAACAACCCATCTTTGCACTTTTTTTCATACATGAAAGAGAAACTATCTAAAAATTCAATGTGTTCACTGTCATATACAGTATATAAATTGTACATCTGCTTTATTTTACTCTGTACTGGTCTCTACATATGAATAACAGTAGCAAAACCAACCTTTGTGGAACTTTCAAATGTGATGGAGATTTTCTGTGTCCTGTTTGAAGCCAACAGTTCCAAAACTATTTCTCTAAAATATCTTGTGGTTTTTGATGGAATTGATTCCGAGAAAAGGACAGATGGACAGGACATGGTCTCTTTTTGTTATTTCTAAAAGGAGATTCCCTCTCATATGTTCACTTAAAAGCCATTGTTGTGAGTCAGAAACGGTGGAGAAAGATTCCACTCCTTCTTATTAAAAAGGCTAGTTTGGGGGGCTTTGCTATTGCCTACAACTTTAACTAAAAACACTAATCAAGAATTATTGTATTGTGTCTGTCTTAAAATATTGTGAAATGCACATTCGGTAAAAATATATATGTACAGTATTAACATAATCATTAGTATGAGTACTTATAGATTTTAAGCTGAAACTAAAATGAGGTCTGATTGGTGATTTTGGTATCACAGATTATGAGTAAGAAAAGCCTTCACAGATTGTTAACTGCTATAATTAGAACAATGATGAGGTGGGTTGAGAGAAGAGTTCTGATACTACAGGTAATGTCAACCTGCATCTGGGCTTAGAAAAGGGAGAACACCTCCATGTGATGTCTTTAGCAACCTACACTCTCATTAAAAATTCTCAAAAAGAAATCGTCAATTCCTAGCAGTGGAACACTTTCCAAAGACAAACTATTCTGCACTCACAAACTCACAGAACACACAACACTGCAGGTTACATCATTTCTGTTTTATGAACAATTAAAGACAAATACTTTACTTCAGCATGGGAGGGGCCCTTAAACTATGCAATACAGAAGCTTTGCTAGACAGAAATGCTCATTTGTGCATTTGGAGTGACTTCAAGTTTCTTCAAGGGAACAGTATTTACTAGATAAAAATTCAAAAATAAAAAGTACGTCCTCTTAAACACACTCAGCCATTCAAATGTCTCACCTTAAAATATTTTAAGTCATCTGGTAAAATACCAGCCATTAAAGTAATTCTCTATCTACCTCTAATAGTTTTGGTTTAAAAAAAATACTATTTAGAGTAAGCCCTACTGAATTCAATGGGGCTTATTGCCAAGGAAACAGATGGATTAAATTCTAAGACTATTTTAACTTTTCCTTCAGTAGTTTGGTTTTTGTTTTTTTATTGCAGCTCTTTAAACAGCCATATCAGAATCTTGCATTTAAGTTGAAACCTAGATATCAACTTCTTAATACATGGATCATCAATTCCTGTTCAGAAAGCTTTTATATAAGCAATGAGTGTGACACAAATGAGTCCTGTGATCTTTAAAAGTTTAACAATGAAAGGAATAGTTTCATTTACATGAATCACAATTTAAAAAAAAAAAAAAGAGCAGAATGAGGACACTGAAATCAACTAGCTTAAGCCTGCCTAACTCCCTGCTGGATTGTGGCCAATATGTCAAATTTCCCAGAAGCAAGGTACATCTGTTTCTTCATAAGGAACTAAGACATTCAGTTATTTCTATCCTTTCTACTCCAATTGTATTTACACAAAGGGGGAAAGGAGAGACAGTGTGTGTGAGAGAGAGACAGGAGGAGTGTGTGTATGTGCACGTCTGGCAAGGTAGAAGTGACGGGAGCTGTGATTTGTGCTAACTAGCTATTGATCCAGTCAGATCTAGATGTTGTGTACAAGAAACAATAAAAGGAGCCGAGAAGGATGCTGTGTGAAACTCCATTTAAAAATGGAAAAGGCGGCCCCCAAACAAACCAATTTATGTCCTTGCTTGGATGAAGCCTGAAGAATGCTGATGGGCTTCCCAGCATCTGCTGTGCATGCTAAACACCTCCACTCTGAAAAAGAAGCTCCCTGCACTGGCATCGGAGGGAACAAAGAGACAAGCAGTCGAGGCAGCATTCATGCCCCACAAAGCCCAAGATGCAAAGCCTGCTGAAGCTTGGACTTCACATGAGCCTCTAGATACCTCTGGACACCCCGCCCCAGAAATCTGGTATAAAACACAAGACAAAGCAAAAGTATTTCTTCATCAGATGTTATAAGCAAAACACAAAGCCAATAACAAGAACAGATTCACAACATAGACACAGCACCCCATTGTATCTACCCTTGACTGTTTCGTTACACGATGGACACATCCATTTAAAGACCTCCTCTGTATACCAATTATCACATTAAGTCATCTCTGGGCACAACCCACTACTGCTTTGTAGGTTCTAATCAGTGGGCTAAAACTCCACTAAGTTAGGAACATTTTTACAATGGCTGTGCTCAAGAATAATGGGTTTGAATCCAATCTGAAAATGAAAATTGAAGCAAAACTGAAACAATTATGTTACTTCATGAATTAAACACCTAATCTGGGATAATTCAGACACTCTAAGAACAAATGTTCCTAATATAAGATCCTGGGAATTTAAGCAGGTCCTATTCTGCTTAAATACAAGAAAGTTTCTTTTGGTGGCTAGACTTTTATAGAGAAAGAAGATGCATCAAGGTTTCATCCGTACCTACAGAATGCCACCTTCCACGTGCACACTTTTAAGATGATATTGTGCTATAGACAGAAACAATACTCAGGGCACATGCATAAGCATCTCACAGGGATACATGGCTCTCAAAGGGAACTTTTCTATAAATTATTTTTCAACATAACTACCTATACAGGAATGTCCTTTATTCCTTTTTTTCTTCTTCTTCATTTGATTACCGTACAGTCCATTGGATACCTAGTGTGGTGTAGTGCTTAGAGTAAGGGACTAGGATTCTGAAGAACTGGGTTTGATTCAATTCTCCAGCTCTGCCATGCAAACTCACTGGCAAAACCACTTCTCACTCATCTTGAAAACCCTATTAGCGTCACTATAAGTCAGTTCCTATTTGACGGCACATAACACACACCCCATAAGTACACAGCAAAAGAACCACAAAAAGACAAACAGTACAACTTCCTACCATCACCTACGTGTTCTCAGCCTTGCTGTTGGTCATGCTTTCCACAAACACATGTAAGAAAAGTGGTGCTTGGCCTCAATCTCATGAGATGAGAGCACTGGCATTTCATTGTTTAAAGTTTCCAAAACTGGCTTCTCCCTAAGTGGACTCCAGAACAGGACGGACAAGGGAAGCCATGTCTACGAACCACAACCACCCGCACCACTTTCCTCTTCTCATTCTAGTCTTTTCATAGTAACAATTTTGTAAACATTTTGTATTTTCTGCCCTGAGTTAGCAATACCTGCAGTGACCCGTCTTAGCATCATCCCTGTTTGGCACGGGGGGAGCACCAAAACTTGCTTGTGTTGCTATGAATAGGGAGACAATGATGTCACTGCAAACCTTAACTGCAGGACAGATTTCCACAAATGTTATTTCTGAGTAAAGGTGCCACAGGATTGCATCACTTCTAGGCTCTGGATCATATCTGCCCCCTTTCAGAAACAGTGGGATTTTTTTTTCTGTACAACTCCTGGGAAGTGGGAAAAGGCCAGAGTTCTGAGTGGTATTTAGTGGATACATACAAAATATAGACAGGAGAGGAGGCAGAGAGGAGTAGCTGCAGCACCAAGCTAACCTACTTTTGTGCCTCACCCTGTGATACCCAGCCTGAAAGGGACCTGCAGGACCAAAAACCTCATACAGTATCTTTGTAATATTTTAGTGCCTGGTTGCCAACCCTGTTTTGGATTCAGCAAATAAAGAGAACAGGTTGCAAGAGGACCTTCCTGTCCTCCTGACCAAACTCCTCACCTTTTGCTTAAGGCCAGAGAGCAGACCGGCCAGGCTCCCCCCACCCCCACCCCCAGAGAAGGGATAACTACCTTCTTTGCTGGGGTTGGGCACCTTTGTGGGCTTCTCCCAAGGCGCCAGGGTTTTCTCATCGTCTTGCCCCTCCAAGAGGGCCTTATCCCCCGCGGGAAGGTACCAGGCAGCAGAGTGCTCAGCCATCAGCGAGTCCAGGTCGATGGTGCTCATGGTGCCCTTGCCGCTCTCCGCGCTGGCGGCGGCACAGCAGCTGCTCAGCTCCCCGCTGTCCCCGTTCTGGCCGCCGCCGCCGCCTCCCGCGCTGGGGCCGTCTGGGGGTTTCTTAGCTGCCACGGCGGCTCCGCTCTTAAGGCCCAGTGGCTGGTCCTCCGAGATGCTGAACTGTTGC